CGGACCTTGTATGATCCAAGACAAAATCTAGTCAAACTTGACTCCAAGTCACAATCACTATGATTTTTGACACAATTCAACAATTCATTTTCGGCATTCCAATGAATAAATCACAAACAAATCATTTAAAAGAACTTGAAGACTATCAAAATTTTAACAATCACTCTTTCAAGTCCGAAAATTGTTTAAACAAACAACTTTAGATTATTCAAACATAATTTATAGCTCATCTGCTTAGTGTCTGAATCATTTCATACTTTACACAATAACTGATTAGGTCAAGTACCCCGAAAAAATTTAATTTATGATCATAAGCTGCGCTTACGTCACTCTTAATAGCGATGTTGTTTTATCAATTTATATTTCATAGAGAAAAATTGTTCAGTAAGACAATAAAAAATAAGAGTTTTAAACTCATCAATCGCATTAGTCAGTTTATGCTGTTGGAAGGAAGCGAGAGAAGAGATGAAAAAAATGAAAATAAATTTTCCAGTCTGTTAGAATTTCAGAATAGCGGAAAGACGAGAAATCATGATGAATAGAACAACAACGAAAAAAAAGAGTGTGCTTAAGCGCTCTTTTGAGGGAAAACACTCGAATGTCTGTTTCTCATCAGCATCATCGTGAGTTAATAAAGATTAAATAAGCATGAATGGTCGATAATTGTCGATAATTTATTTACATCATCCTCGGTCTTATGAAGAATTAGTTATTTATTCTAGATATTATTGAATTAAGAAGAGCTACTAGTCATAAATTGTCTGATTGCCTGTGTTTTGGAATGTTTGTGGTCTGGCAGTCTATCTCTTTGCTTTCTTGTTCTATTATTAATCCTCTTTTGCTGTTTATAGACATGTTTCAGGTTATAGACTTGTCTGATATTTAATCAGCAAGGCATTTGAATCAAGGATTCGCAGCTGATTAATTCAATATTTATCCTTTTTCAATCATTTTTGATCACTTTCCCTATCGAAACACATTGAAATTAATGAAATGACTTTTAAGCTGCTGCCGCTTGAATCTAATTGTTCTATAAACCCGGCTGTCGGGTGACAAACATTTCATCGGGTTCCACTAGTCTGGTCAGAATCAACACATTTTTTTAAAGAGATTATCAGCTATTTTTATGTCAGATTAAGTACAGAGTTCATAAAGATTCAATGTGGAGTTCATACAATTTTTTCTCCTAATTCAATTTGCTCGAGATGACACTTCTTAACAGAGGCGTAGCCAGAAATAATTTCTACGATGTTCCAAATTTTTTTTTCGTTACCTCACGCTGAGTTTTGTACTTTTTATTGATTCTAGTGATACCTTAATGATTAAATAATAAATTTGAGTTCCGGAAAACTTTGAAACTATTTTTTAAAAGAAAAGACTTCTTCTTATGGGTTCGGACCTCACCCCCCCCCCCCCCCCTCTAGCTGAAATCTTGATTCTCAAACCAAATGGGTCTCAGGATCCAATCTCAGTTAAAGTGCACTAATTAGTTTAAGACTAGATATCAGGCTTGGGGATAAATGGTGATTAAGAATGAAATCACAAAGAATTGAAATCAAAGAGCAAGTAGTTGAATAGTTTACATAAAACTTCAGTTTAAGAAAACTGCGCTTTAACTTACCACATGAGCACTAGTTCCATTCTCATCAAAAAGCGAAAATAAAAAGTTTTTTACTTACAAAAAGGAGAAAGAAACTTTTATTCAATTTGTTTATTTTATTTGATGTAAAAGATTTTCTCGTTATTAATGAGATGGATATCCCTCTGTGATCTACTATTTGACTACAATAACATGACGATTGATGTAAGGTTTTAAATGATCCTAATTAAGATGTTCGCTGTCATTTGAAATGTAATTACTGATGAGATTGTTTTGCTTCTTAATTAACCCGTTGATTGCAAATTTACTTTGCGGGGTAACACAATTGGGTCAACAATGCGTAATAATTTGCATCTTAATTAAAATCTCAAATTGCATTCTTTGAAGAGATATAGATGACTGTGGTGGACAAATGGATTGACAATCAAATGCCATTATTGTCAATTCTCAATAAATTGAGATGACTAATGAATTTTGTTATCTGATGAAAATTTATTGGTCATGAATTGAAATGTATGGTTATGAATTTAATTATGGTTTCTTATCTTTATGAGACATTGCAGGAATAACAATTATGACATATTTGTGGTTTTGATTGATGGCTGTAAATTTGTAGCTTCCTTATTGAATTATTGAATTAAAATTAAGATAAGAAAAGTTTTCGCGCCTAAATCAAAAGTTCTGATATTTTGTGAACCAGATCTCATTAGATTTCACCAAACTTCAAGCTAAAGTCCTAAACTTAAAAATTCATTCACCAAAAAAAGGCAATCAACTTCCAAAAGCCATTTCACTAGCAGCATAATTGCATTTTCTTCATTAGCCAACAGAGACTAGATTTTATGTTTAATCTCTGCGAATACATAAACTAATTCTCATTATTTTTGTCTCAACGGGACGCAGCTTCATGATCGCTTTGAGTAAAAATCTTTCATTTGCATTTCCCTTCGAGATTCTCGTCTTTCTCGCTGTTCACATTTAGAAATGGAAATGAAAATACAAATTAGATCAATTTTTCATGTGTTGTTAATTAAATAGTTTGGATATTGAGTTTCGCTCATTTTAATTGTAATTTTAAGTATCGTGTGCTCAAGTTAATGATGATGATGGATGTATGAAATAGCTTTGAAACTATTTGAAACTTCAACTTTTGTGTTGAAAACTTTTTTGAATTGTTGATGGAATGGAATCTTTTGAGAGTTAATTTTCAAAGAATTTAACTTTTGAGTTCATTGATTTCAGTCGTTTATCTTGCTTATTCTCAATATTGAGTTTGATTTTAGAAGATGTGATGATTAATTTGAATGATCCAGAAATGTCAGGAATCTTAAATTCGATTGAAAGTTTGTTAAAATATTGCGAATGTCAGATTAAACTAAGAAATATATGAATCAGGGTTGCGATACAGGTACCTGTACACAGATGAGAGCTGTACAATTCCTTGATAATTCATAAGGTTTATCCTACAAAACCATACAAATTCTAATTAAAACCTCACAAATTATCAAGGAATTGTACGGTTTTCACCTGTGCACAGGTGCCTGTATCAATGCGATTTATAATTTCAATGCGTTTACGAACTTCAACAAACTCTCAACTTTGCTACTCAAAACTTTTGATACAATTTCAAAATCCCGCAGTGTTTAAAAATGAATAAATAAGCATGCAAATATTTTAAACAGCAGTTAATCCTTTAAAAATCTGCAGCAACTGTTTGAAGGCAATTTTTTAACTATCAATTGAAATAATATTTAGACGAAAAATGTACGTCCGAAATCATACTTTTGTATTAATAGCAATCCATTAAGAAAGCGAGGAGCGAAATGTATCAAAAATCAACTGAATGAAATTAAATACGGTTGCGAGACAGACCCAAATTGATATGAGTTCATATGTAAATTTTTGGCTGGTTTATTTTCAGCAAATCACATCTCAACATTTTTGAAATGTATCATGAATGACTTGCAATATTTATTACAATTTTGAAAAATGTTAAATGAAAAAGTAATTGGCAAATGAGTCCGAGAGTGGATGATTTGATTATGATGTTGACGATTTAGTGATGTGAGCTGAGTTAGGCTTTATTGAATTTTATTTTTTGAAAATTCCAGAATAAGGGATCATGTGCAAGAGTTTAACGAGATAGGGTGGGGAAAATTTTTCTCAAATCAAATTCAAGAGGCACCAGAGGTGATGAACAAATAAAAACTACAAATTTCAAGAGATTGAGCAGCCTACATTAGTCACAGAACAATTCTATTAATTGTCGAGAGAGGGGGGGGGGGGGGGGGGGATGGGGAAAGCCGAAGTCTGACTCTGAAGCTGACCAAATGTCAAGTGCATACCTTCTCGTGGTATCCCTTGATACCACTTTCGACCGAGTCCTGTGCCGGAATAAGTACTTTAAATGATACATTAAAAGCATATCCAAACAACCTCGCCTGCAGAGTGGCAGCCCCACATTCAGGCTAGGGATGTTGAGGTTTACAACTAACCATTCTCGAAATCAACATGTACAAAGAAAACAACATAAGGTAAACAGGACTGGTTTTAATAGGTGACAGAGCCAGCAACAGAGTCAGATAGAAATCCTTTTGTTGTAACCTAAGCTCCACACAGGAACATAGTTACAATAAGGAAGTACGTAGTTCTATTCATACTGCAGAGTTTAGTATCAAGAAATCGGCTATTGTCCTTCCCCAAATGTCTAGCTATGCCTTTAGTGAAGTCTTTAGTGAAACACATTATCAAAGCATAAATAAAGCAATCAGAGATCATCGTAATGCCTTAAAGTAAGTGGCACTTAGTAGCATTAAATAAATGTCGTTAGATTGCAACCTAGCTGATCAATACTGATCGCAGATAATTCAATCAAGATTCAATTCAAGTGTAATAAAGCATTTGTGTCCAGATTGTAAAAAAATAAATTGATTGACATACATCATTAATGGTTAAACCCTTTCAAATTATAACATTTTGTCTACACAAATTGAATTCAAAATTTAAATGAATGGAAATAGGAGAACAAAAAATAAATTGCTTTTCATAATTTTTTGACATGCCAGATTTTTTACTGCTCCGTAATTTTACGTAATTCACAACTGTTTTCCTTACAGCCTCAGTACAAACAGAATAAAAAGCGCGTGTTCTGTTTTACTTTACCTTATGTGAATTTGTTTTAAAAAAATCTCAAACATAAGCGATTGAGATAATTTTCCCACGGCCGCTACTGGTCAGACAATTATCATCATCGTACATTTGTATGAAAAATCATCCAACAAATCTCAATAGTCACGAGAGAAGAAAAAAAAATCATGAAAAACTTCAAATTTCCATCGAAGAAGAAAATGCAAAAAATAAAATATAAATTTTTCATTTTTCTGAGAGAGAGTAAAAAAATCTTTTCAGTCTTAATTTCGCCAGCATTGTGTTCGCACGACTGTAAATCGCGCGGTTAGGCTTATTTTTTCATACTTTTTTAATTATTTTTTTTTTCGTCATTTTCATTTTTATTTAAAAATAGTAGAAAAAAAAACAGTCACAATTAAAAGGAATAGAAAAACAAGTTTAGACACAGTGAGAAGTTATAGGATGGTGACAATAGCAAGCGGCTATTTTAAAAATAAATAAGAAAAACCTTGGTTTTAGTGAAGTCATTTGACTAATTGTCTCGAATTCTTTCTGTGTGCTTTCCTCTCGCCGATTCTCGCATAAAAATAATTTTTAAGACATAAACATAAATCATTTGCAAAGAGTTTCCAAGCGATAACTCTTGTCATCAGACTACAGCACTCGCAAGAACGCAAATTTCATTCGCACCTTCATCATTTCTCATCAAACAAAAATGCCAAACAGCAACAAAAAGAGCAAGGTGAGTCAGGGAACTAAAAAGAAAAACTTTCTTCAAAATTTTATTTTATTTTTCCTCAAGTTCATGCACACCACGTGCTGCTCCTCTCCTGTTGCATATTGAAACAACAACAACAATAATAGTCATAATAATTTCTCCTTCAAATGCGAAACTTTTAATTGCACTTAAAGCAAATAAAAAATGTGGAAAATATGAAAATATAATTCTTGATCATTTGTGAAGGCACTTAATTGCACCCTCGAGTCATCATATTTTGCCTTCTCATTCTCATTGTATTGAGATAGTTTTAGTTTTTATAAGGTTGATGCTAATTTAGCGTTGTTTAAGGAATTTGTTTTGTGCTTGAGAGATTAAGGTTTTTAGTGATTGATCAGTTTTGACTGAGCAGTATCTGGTTTTAAGTAGTCCTAAGTCAAGGGTGGCGAACGGAATTTCATTTGATTCGGATTTAACGGCAATATTATATAATTGAATTGCAGTTCCGCCAGCTTAAAAAGGTTTAGCTTTTCGATGATTTATATTTTTAACGGCAATATTGCTGTTCACCAGCCCTGGGTCCTAGATATTATCAGGTCGTACTATAAGGTACTGCTAATTATTCAATAGCTTCTTGATAAATTTGATTTCACATGAACGTATCCGTTTAAAGCTCTTTTGTGGTCTTCGGTCTTTGATGTTATTTGGAGCATTCCAGTCTATATCCCAAGCTACACAATTTATATTTTTCGTCCGAATTCTATATGGCTTCGTTTAGATAGTTTATGAATAGCTATGTAGAATGGTGTTGAATCTTACTGTTATTGCAAAAACAAAATTCAGAATTTTGGCAAAACGAGAACATTTGATGATCTTTAGGAAGGTTAAATAGTTGAATCATGCTACTATTATGTTATATAGGTGCATGTGCTGTTTGAAATTCAACAAGAAAGAACATCAATGTTCCTGAAAAAGAATTAAAAATCGGATTTAAAAAATATTTGATAGTTCTGAATTCAAATAAGAATTGAAACCTGGAATTTCATATGAATAACAAAGGATTTGAACAATGTCGATGACCATAGCTTTATAGTTTAGAAACGGTTTTACCAGAAAAGGAGGGATCTAAGAATTTGTAACAGTTCATACAAAAGAAACTTTTTTCATACAAACTTGGAGGAGGTATCGTTATTGCGTTATGTATTAAGTGAACAGCCCCTAGCTCAAATGGCAAAAAAATAAATATCTTAAAATCAGATAAAGTAAGCAATTATTCAAAGTTCTATAGGAATTGAACCCAATCTTTTCTATTTTTAAGTTTATAATTCTAAAACTCATCCAAACTATTTGAGCCATTAAAGCTTCAATTTACTTTAAATTTCCTTGAACTAACCTCCTTCATGTTCCAATTTTAAACTTCCTATTCAAATTATCTCACCAGACAGTATAGAAAAAGAAAGTATTAAAAATTAAATTCCCCAAGTCTAACACCTCAGTATGTGTCTGAGCCACATTTAAATCAACTCAACAGATGCACTTTATCCAATTATTTTGACGTCATCATCTTCTTCAAGCAAAAAAAAGGCAAAAATTAAAATTTCCAAGTTCACGATGTGTCTGTGTAATTTTTTTTTTGTTTGATTGAATACACAGACTGCAATGTCGAAAATTATTTTTTGTTTAAAGTTGGTAAACACTAATAAGAATTTTTATGAGCTCTTAAACAACTTTTTTTCCCTCTGTTTTCATACTCGAAATAAGAAATATATAAAAAAAATTGGAGGAAGGAATTTATCGAAGTGTGATTTTTGTGTATACACAATCCATATAAATCAATATTTATAAAACGTGAGGTTTTTCTTAGACTTCTTCTCTTAATTGAAATAAACAAATTTATATTTAAAATCGATTGAAGAACTACACTTCTAGGTGTTGCCATCAATAATGCACGAGTGTGAGTTTTTTCTTCTCTTTAAATTTTATTTAGAATATGCTTTATGTAAATAATTGAAATAATTTCACGCGGAAAAATAAAAATTAGAGTTCATGAAATCTTAATGGTTTATTATGTCTCAGGTAGTTCTAAAATAATCACGCGTTGGTGTTGCTTAAATCAAAACAGATAGTATTTTTTTTTTGCTGAGGTTCAATTTAAAGCTTCGAAAATTCGATATGATAGGAAATATGAATTTGAACACATCTCAGGGTCATTCTGACTTATTTTACATTAAAAAGGGAGTGTGTTGATAATAATAAATATATTTTAATGGAATTGTAAAGAGTGGGATTTTCAGGATGGTATCATGTTGCTTTTTTGGAAATATGAATCTTAAAAATTGATATTTTGAGTAGGTTAAATATAAATTATTTACAAAAATTCAATGATTATTGCAGATTTTTGAGGTAATGTAGCAAAAATAGAATCGTGAATATCAAGACATAATTTAGGAGAATCAATCAATGTAATATCAAGGTTTTCAACCATGTGGTTGAAGAAAGTTGTCAGGAATCTACCACAATAACTATGCGAGGTCGTAGGTTTGATTCCTACCAGATGTTAATTCCTCAATCTTTTGTAGTAATGTTTTTAAAGTAATAAAAAGGTCCAAATGTCACAATTCCTCGAGAGGTCGTTGCTTTGATTCCTTCAAAAGGATAATTCGTATATCAAATGCCAAGAAAATTTTTAAGTAATAAGGGTGCGGAACAATGCTCATGACATATTTTAGGGCCGCTTTTAAGGGATTTTCCAAAAACAATGACGAACTAGACTTTGAAAAATAAAAAAAGACTTAAGCCCCAAGTAGGAACTGGGATTGGAATCAAGTGTGCGGAACTGAATCGTGTTTCAATCATTTTGATAATTTTAAACATTCTTTATTTGGAACTAGAGCAGGATATGCAAAAATCCACGAGTTTATAAAAATTGACTGAACTTAGTAGCAGCATCTAAAATGATGATGATGATGGGTTCCTATTGCTCCACTATGAAGCGTAGAGCGTCCACAAAGCATTTAGATCGCACTCGATTCTGGGCCAAAGCTGCTATTTCCTGCAGCTTCTTGTTCTGTTGTTCCGCCTCCCGTTCAACAGTTGTACGCCAAGTAATTCTTCATCGGCCCCTAGTCCTATTTCCTTGGACATTCCAGAAAATCGCTAGCATCTAAAATAGAACTCTAAAATAGATACAAAATAAGGTCTTTGGTCTTTGGTTCCAATGCTATATTTAAGGACAGTCTTTAGCCCCCAAAATTGAATTTTAAGGCAGTGTTGATATTTAGCAATTTATTTGTATTTGCTTTTTTTGTGCCTTTAAAAAGGCATAACATTGCCAGATCAAAAGCAAAATCTGGTCTAAAGCAACTTTGTATCAACACTGTTTTAAAGTTTTATAATCGCAACAAGAACTTTTACAAACCAAAAATAACTGTATAGCCCATAACAAGACACCTGATCATTTACATTGTTTACGCCTGTTGAGGAAATCGCATAATATTATGAAATATCAGTTTCATTGGATGATTTCATTCATGTCAGCCCACAAGCATTTCAAAATTCATTGTAATATTTTGTATTTTATGAATGTAAATGTTACGCATTTCCTGCATTAACTTGATCCATTATTGAACAAAAATTAAAAAATTCTGGAAATTCCAAAATGTATAAATTTCATTGAATTCAAAGCTTAGTCATTGTGCATTCAAAATTAAATTAAGAATATAAACTGAATATAATAAATTTGAAAAGATTCATAAAGGTATGAAAAGTCATAAATTCAACATTAGTATGCTTTATTTCATTGAATTTTGATTCCATCTGCTTAAAATGAACAATGAATCTTAACCACCAATTTTCAACACCTTTGCTTCTTGCAGTACATGTTAAGATTAAGCTCTATATCAAAACTTAATTTCTAGTCATGCAATACCAGTCTATTTGTTTGATATAGGCTTCATTGACACATCATTCAGATTCTATGAACGGAATTTGAAGATATTAAGCTTTGTTGTTCCTCCATTTCACCTAGATTTAATAAAACAATTGTTTAAACTTCCCCCATTCATTGTCAACTCCTCAACTTAGTCTTGTTCAAATTCATCAAACAATATTTTCAATTGCTTTGTTACTTCATCCCATCCGATTCCGCTTGAAAATCTCTTTTCCTTTCATTTCAACTAAATGAACAATTTCCTCGTCTTTTAAATTTTCAATCACAAGCCATCGTTCATTTCATTTGTCTTGTTATGAGCGAAACATCAGATTGTGTATAGTAAAAATTATTAAAAAGATTTGTAGAAGTAAGAAAAAGTGAGATTCTTTTTTTTTCCTTGTTTTATTTTTAGTTCACAAAAACCCAATCAGATGTTTAACTTGATACACGACGCACAGACATTGTGGCTGATTTATTTACACGATAATATAAAGAATCTCCATCTCACTCTCTTTTCTATACACATTCTCGTAGATGTGATTAAAGTCATTTACTTCGTGTTGTATGGAAATTGCCTTTTACTTTCTTGCTAAATTATAAACTGTATGTCTTGTAGTTCATATAGAATGAAAGATAATCTCTTCATTTATTTCTTAGCTGAGTTTTTAATGAGAAAATGTGGGTTAATTGCCTTTTTGTCTCGTCTTTAGGAAAATTCATTGTTGAAAAAATCTTTCTATTGAAGGTGTGCATTTAGATTTAAACTTCAGGCATTAAAATTTATGCGTTCATTGATCTAAAGCGAGTTATTCAAGGAATTTAAAGAGAAAGTTTAAATAATATGTAGTTTTATTGTTTTCTGTGAGTTTTACGAGATGTTGTTACTTTTTAAGGAGGGATTTAATTTTATTTCAAGTAGCATACTTTTATATTAATAGAGCAGCACAACAAAGTATTGCTAGCGAATTTGGTCATTCTAAGATTTTGACTATAATCCTATCTATGGGGATCTATCATGATCTCAAAATTTTTTTTATGAAATTCACAGATCCCACGACCCACTTTATGAATATTTGCGAGAAAGATCTTTGGC